CATTCAGTGATAATGAACTCCAATGGTACTCAGCTGATGCGAGATGTTGTCATAAATGTGATTTTCCAGAACACATTGTTATAAAATGCCTCCAAATTGTTTCATCAGTAAATGATGATCCTGTTAAACAACCTAAAACCCCAATTTACAAGCTTTCCTCTGTTTAAAAACTATACAATCACTTCAAGTTAGCAGAATCTAGATTCTTGATAACGAGATACAATGACTGCCAATCCAATCACAACCAGCCACTCCTTCCCAAAGAGGGAAACAAACCTGCAATTGATAAAGGCAAGCTAAAGACAAAGGCTCCACAGGTTTTTTGATTGATGACTCAGTTCATAATCCTAATGATAATAACAATACGACCAATAATAAGCTAAACAGAATCCTTTACATGCTCGCAGGTATGCAAAAGGCTATGTCAGATCTTAAAACTCGCATTGCTAAGCTAGAAAAGGCTCAATCAACTATCTATATCTCACCTTCCTTCTCACTATCAAGCGTCCTGAATAATGGGCTTATTGCATAGCAATCTGCGTCTACCTCTACCCCTTAAAAAAGAGTTCGTATAACCAATTCCTCTTCAGATAAAGACCTTATTAAGTCACCTGTTCCCATCGACCTTAAAACACAAGCAATTATTAAAGAACAAGCCTTTGTTATCGCTGAATAACAGAAGCAATTACAGCTCGTTAACGCCCAAATACTCGAAATCATAGCTTAGGTGCAAAAACCATCTGATTCCTTCCCACAATAATTTCACCCATTACCTAACCCACAACCATAATTAATAACAATACAAATATCGATAAAAATAATAATTACAACAATAAATATATAGAATATTCTACCAACAATCAATTTAATTCAAAAGGCACACCTACTATATCTTTTGCTACCCATAATGTAAATTCACTTCAATGTTCAATCAAAAACCAATTCATTAATGATACATTCACAGATCTTAATACAGATTTCGAAGGTCTTACTGAAACATAACACAAGTCTGACCAATCCTTTCATTATATACATAACCCTAATTACACTTCTTTTTGGAGCACCCGCCTTAACTCACACGCTGGAGTTGGCATTCTCATTAAAAAATCCTAGGCTGTTTACATCCAAAAAGCCTATCTGGATAATGATCGATTTATCTACATAGATTTGCATTTACCTGGACATACCAAATTTTGCATCTTCTATATCTATTTACATGCTTCAACTGAATCTGATATCAAGACGGAATGGCTTAACCTACACAAATTAATCATTAAACATGTTTATAATAGCATCAGAGTAGATTTCAAGACTGTTATCCTAGAGGACTTCAACACAAATCTCGATATCTACTAGTCACAAGTTAACAATGACAAAACCCTATACTGGTAAATGGACTTTTACAAATGGCTCTTCACATTGAACTTTCTAGACCTTTATGACGTTTGTCATGATACACCCCAACTCACATACCATTCAGGCTTACGTAGTTCAAGAATTGACACCATTTTGTCTTACCCAACTTCACTTCAGAATTTCTTATTCATACTTAGATCAGCCTGTCTTCTACTCGTCTGACTATAAGATCATTTTTGCGATATTCACTGATTATCATATGCAATCAAATGCTCAAGGTTGTACCTTACAAAATAAATGATAAGTTCCTAATTTAAGAGCTATGAACCCATCCAAATGGAATGAATTCACTGCATACACTAATTTTCATTATAGATGTCACAACTTGGATCGTCTTTCGAACCTTTCCACTAACAGATGCAATATAAACACTCTATAGACAAATATTAAAGCTGCCATCCTAGCTGCCAACAGATGTATCATACCTCAAGTTTGGATTTCCCCACAACAAAGAAATAAATGACCCTTTGACCAGCCTCTCTTTTATTGCAGCCAGGAAAGTTAGCTCATTCCTACTTCATTTTAAAGACTCACTTTTACAAACAAACCGTTGGCCTGAACCTCTCGAATGGTCTCATATCAAAGAAAATATGAAAAAGTTGATTGCAGAATTAAAACTTCCTACGTGTTCCTTTCCTCCCTTTCTGCGAATTGATAATATCAATGATATCAAATTAAAAATTAAGGCTCTCTACAAATCTTTAACAGCTTTAGCTAAAATTGAAATACAAAAAATAAAAGAATCGGCTATCAAGTCCTTTATAGACAAGCGATGTGACAACCTGCAAGATGACCCTTCAAAATGATTGCCTTTATCTTAAATCAGAAGAAACGATCTATAGTGCTCGATCAACTGCTCATTACGGACAAAGACTCAGGCGATAAACATTTTACCATCGAACCAGAAGAAATCAAGAGAATCACAATTGATCATTTCCAAATCTTCGCTGTCCCCCTAACCTCTATGTACCCTATACCCTCAGATGTTCTGAGCAATATAAACCTAAAGACTACATTAATGATCAACACTATTTCAATCTCATATAACCTCCCACATATGATGAATAGCTTGCTGTCCTTAAAACACTTTCCAATAATAAAGCAACTGGTCCCTCTGGCATCACCAATGAAATGATTACTCACCTTAGAGACAAGCTTCAGCGACTTCTTTGGAAACTCATCTGCATGTGCTTCACAATAGGTGATATTCCCAACAAATAGAAAATTGCCCACATATATCCCATTCTCAAACCCATGGAATGGGAATGTGACATAACTAAAACCAGACCCATTACACTACTCAAAATTGCGCGTAAAGGCCTTGTTAAGATCATCACCAATAGACTCTCCCAAATATTAGCCAACCACAACATTCTCAAGGGAGGAAACTTCACTGGATTGCCAGGAGAATCAATGAAACTACTTATAATAATTATCAATATACTATTAAAGGATGCTATCGAGAATAATAAAGAAATTTGGATTCTACTGTAAGACCTTTCTAAGGCTTACGATTGTATAGATTTGTCTTACCTTCATCTCAACCTAAACAAAATCAAAGTCCCTAAGTTAGCTACAGTCAACTCTTATTATAACGAACTCTATGTCCTAGACCTCAACTTCGTTATAAGGCTATAGTGAAGATTTTAAAAGATTTGATTGGCCAATTTGATATAACAAGAGTATTTTATTATATTTATTTAAAAAATTCGTTATATCAAGAGTTCGCTATATCAAGAGTTAACTGTACTGAACTCATCATAAACTTATTTACTTCGAGAAGAAATGCTGTGTTTATCGCACAGGGAACCACTGACTTATATGATGTCAAGATAGGTATTGACCAAGAAGAAGTTATTTTCCCTTTAATGTAGTGTATCTACCTGAACCCTTACTCTGCGAAGTAGGCTTCCTAAATAAAGGATATATAATTGATCATACTTTGATTTTTGACATCACCTCCATGAATACCAGCACTATATCAACCTCCGTTTCGTCACTTGCATTCATGGATGATACAAACTGGGTGGCTAGTTCCAAACAAGATTTAGAAGAAATTTTACATGTTGCAGATGAATTTTATAGTCTCACCAGATCTGCACTCAACAAAGACAAATCGAAACTGTTGACGACTTGCCATGTTGATGTCCTCCCTGTTCCTATTAAATTTGGCTCAACCACTATCGATATTACTCCTGAAGAAGGGTCAGTACGGTTCTTAGGTGTGTGGATTAACAGTCAGAGAGATCAATTATTTGTCAAGAAGTAGCTCACATTTAACATGAACCATTTCATCACCTTTATGAAATATAAATCATTAATGGACAAACAATTATTATATATTATTAATATGGTTTTGTGTCCTCTGCTAGAGTATCGTATGCAACTGACACCCCTTTCAAAAAATGAATATCATAAAATTTTCGCTCTCATATATTTACTTTTCAAACATAAAAATAAATTCGCCCTTACCCTCCCCAACACTCTTTTAAACTCCAAACAATTCTATAACTTAAGCAACCTCTGGTCACTGCAAATCAAATCCCTTTTAACTGCTCTTATTTACCAATTTAATAACTCATCCCTTTATAAGAACATCTCTTTAATTCGACTTTACTAATTACAGTCAAGCAATGTTCTTGTTATATCCCCCCTAAATTATTGACCATATTCCTTTAACAAATATTCACATAAAAACTTAATTGGTGCCTCCCTCTCCCTTATCAACTCTTCATCTTCAAAACTTTCTTTTAATGTTTCTCCTCTCCTCATGAATAAAATTACTGGAGGTACCTAATCCATCACAAAAATCTTTTCTAGTAGTCTACTGAAACGATATAACAAGATTCTCACTAACCATAACTTATATTTTCTAGATCAACTAATCTCTTCCTCAGGTCATCATTTAATTACTACTTCTGATTTCCTTCTCAGGGATTTTGACTATCAGTCAAAAAGATTTGGTTCATCTGATTTTTTCTATAGATTATGATAACATTGTTTTAGAAAGTTATGTACATAGATTGATCAAACCAGCATTCAGACTAGCTTCCCCCTTATCATGTTACAAAATCAATTCTCAAGCGTTCACCTTAAATAGCCAAACGAAAGAAATAGTATCAACCTGGAACATAATGCTTAATGGTCCAACCTTCAAAAAATTATAACCGATGTCTCAAACAGTAGTTATCTCATCTGTTACCATTTCACTCACAATATCAATCATAATAATGTTCATTAGCTTGTTAAATGTTCCAGTTATCCTCTCAGCAGACAGCCTATTTCATCTGAGCGTTGCATCATTAGTATCCCTAATGCACTGGCTTACTTAGTTCAGACCATTCCTAAGCAATCACATACAGTCAAAAATCAACTCAAACAATCATTTAGGAAAATCTTTCGTATCACCAATATGATCTTTCACAGATTATACAATGACCCCCCTTCAACAATTCTGCTCACTGATAACATCATTGATCTTCTTATTCAACTATCAATGCACCCACTCAAGCTTAAACAATTGCAATCCACCTTCATTAGTACCACAGCCTTAACATTTTACCAGATGACTCCTTAATAGGACCTCAGACGGACAACTATAAAATAGGATTTGGTTGGATTTGCTTACATCCTGATAACGGTCTATTTACCTTCAAAGCCTCACTCACAAATTGATCCTCTTCCACGCGAGCTAAAATATATGCTCTCCTCACTGCCCTCATAGTATCCCCAAATAACGCAATAGTGGACGTCTACCTAGATAGCCAGGCAACAATTTATGGTTTTAATAAATATATGCTCTCTAACCATCTTTTTCTGAGAAAGTTTCCAATTATATGATCTGGAATATTATCCGATACATCACTGATCACCTCAACCTCCAAAGTTTTACTCTGCAAAATCAAAGCACACGCTGGAAATTATTATAATGAAATAGCAGATAGATTAGCTAAAGATGGATGCAATACACCTCCTTTATCCTTGCTACTTAATAATATCCTCTCATCAGATCTCTCATTTTGCTTTAATAATATTCCTATTGAGATCTCTATCAGAGGTTTTCTCAAGCAACTCTTTGCCGCACAAGCTTTTGGCAACTTTCTGGATTTGAATAGGAATGATAAACTCAGAGTGCTCACAGTTAATAAATCTATTGATTGGTTCACCATCTGGAATCTTTTTTCGATGAATACCTCTTCTCTCTTCACATCCTTTGCTTTATGTAAGCTCAAATCATTCATAATTAAAAACTTTATCGACGAACTTCCTTCACTATCACGCCTTACATTATTATGACCTGACTTGTATGAACACTGGCCTTGTGTGGGTTGCAACATTGCTACTAAAACTGCTTTCCATATTTGAACATGTCCATTGTACTCCTCGAAAATTATGGATATAATTTCAGCTACCAAAAATGATCTTATTGACCAGCTAATCTCTTCATACAGAGCCAGATACACAGCGCACCTAACTGAACTAAAGAATGTACTCAACAACACCTTCGCATTACCTTCAAGTGCTTCTAATGGCTACACAGACATCATTCAATCCAGAATTTTATCTTTCCTGATAGATATTGTTCACAAAATAGCTGACAATAAAGAGCGATGCCTCTCCATCATTTCACGTTTGCTACTTTTCTTCCACCAAAAGCTATATAATGACGTCTAGAAATACCATTGCAACTTAATAATCGCCAAAGAGCGTTCATTGGGCATTACTAAATAAGATAAGCATAAACAAAGTGTTAGTTCACCCTGTCTCACAGACAGACATCAAGCCTCTCTTTTAACTGGGAGACTTAGATACACCTTGCGAACAAATTTGGCTACGCGTTCTCAGATTTTTAGATAGGCATTAACATCTTCTTTATCTTTTCTTGCTGATGTTAATTTTCATTAAGTATATACTTAGTGGAGTTGATGGAAGGGAAAGACAATGATAGGTTGATTCAAATAGGTTTGTAATATAACTACAGGGATAGCTAGTACTTAGCATAGATTTATTTTTGATTTACTTTGTATTTCCTTATATATAAATTTAATAAAGTTACTGGCAGTACCACATCGTTAAAAAAAAGCTAATTCATATATTACTCTCAACTTGACTTATAACATTAGATCAATTGTTTAATGCCTTAGATGTAACTTAAATGACTCAGCTCTAATGAAATTTTGTAGAGATCCACCCAAATATCTAAAGTTTAAGTTTGGTGGACCAATCACATATACAACTTATGTTAAAGGTTACAATGCTCTCACTGCTATAGTTATTGAAAGAAACAAGATATCACATCCATTAAAAAAGATATCCTTCATTATAAAACAATCTTCTGAAAATTACATAACATCTCATAATTATAAACTAAAAAGAAAAAAGTTTTTTGGAAATCCATCCTGCATACTCAAGAACTCCCTAATACTAGAGTTGCTATTTCAGATATTTTCCTTCCAAATATTTCACTAATTACAAAATGCATTACAGATATCTCTTATCAGAAAAATCTCATTGATTTATTCTAGTTACAAAATAATTTTAGTTCACCTATCTTCTATACAGATGGCTCCCTCTCAACTTCAACTACAATAGATTATAAAATGGGATTAGGATAGATTTGCCCAAATTCTAATAGAAATCAACCAATTTCCTTTAAGGTGGTTGTTGTCAATTCTTCTTTATCTACCGAGCTGAACTTTTTGACCTTTTTTCTGTATTAATTATTTGTCCTCAATTCTCTTCACTGATAATTTTCCTTGATAACTAAGCAATTATTAATGGATACAATAATTTTTGTTTAAATAACAATTATACAATAAGGACTCGTAAAAAAATACCTAATTACAATATTTGGATATTAGTTACACATATTATCAATGAACTGCACCTCTCAGTCAAATTAATAAAAGTCAAAAGTCACTCAGGAGATCACTATAATGACATAGCTGATGCTTTAGTAAAAGTTGGATACTCTATGCTATCTTTAACTATCAAATACATAGCCTTCAAAGATTTACAACTTCTTATCAACTTTAACCAAGTTCCTATAGAATCTTCAATTAGAAAATTCTGAAAATATATGAATGCAACTAAGCAATTCTCAACTTTCATAGATCTCAACCAAAATTTCATATTAGCTCAATATACTCATTTTTCTGATATTAATTAGCCTACTTCTTTTTCCGTCTTCATTTCAAATATGGGTGATAATTCTACTGCCACCTCCTTTGTTCAATGATGAAAAAAGAGTTTTAAATTAAAATTATTGATCAAAGAATTACTCACAGTAAACAGATTCTCAGTTAGGCATTCTGATCTATACAAGAACTGGTTATATATTTTTCGCAAACAATATAAGGAAAACTATAATCATTTGTGGAATTGCCTAAATAGAATACAAAATGTCATTGATATTCATATATCAACTTGTGAATTTTTTTATAAGATCATCATTGACAAAATTGGTCAGAATGATAATTGACTCAACTTCTACCTTATTATGAAAGAGAACCTAATGAAACATTTAGACCCTTCACTCCATCCTACCACCTGTATTTATTTGGCCAAAGGAATAATCCCTAATAATATGTTAACATTGTTAAAGGAACTATTCTCCCCTTCTAATGTCAGAAACATTCTTATAGATACTTCAAATTTTTTTACTACTGCCTTCTATGATAATATCTGGATCTCTAAATATAATAAAATGATTAAAGAAGAAAAAAAATTAGGAATTTCTAAAAGTTAAAAAAGAAAAAAGTCAAGATAAAACGTTTAATTCTTACAAAAATCCCTAAATAAATATTATTAAAATAGTCAGATTGGATATTATTAGCAATTAAATTTGGTTTCTCTTAGACAGATTTTTTAGATAGTATTAACAGTTTCATTTGAACATCTTGTTGAAGAGTTAATTATTAGATATAGATCTTTTAATTTTTTCTAAGGGATGTTCTGGTTAAAAATGACATTACAACTGGTTGCAATCAGTGATAAATAAGTATCACAGAGTTGCAATTAATTGCAACATTAATAAAAATTGAGTTACAACTAGTTGTAACTGATGACAAATAAGTATCATATGGTTGTAAACTAATTGCAACACCGTCTTTAGTTCTGGTAATTGATTAATTCAAATGGATTTGTAATAGAATAACAGAGAATAGTCTTAGTTTAATTTTTTATTGTTTTTACTTTTAAATTATTATTTTTTTTATTTTCTACTTTTATTTGTAATAATATAATATAAATATAATAAACTTAAGACAATACTATATTGTTAAAAAAAAAAAAAAAAAAAAAAAAAAGAAACCGAATAGGATAAAAACTTTCTCTTTCTCTCCAATACCCAAAATTTAGAAAAAAACAAAAATTTCATTTTTCAAAGAAAACTTTTATTTTTATTAAAAACTTTAACTATACAATATGACTCTTGATATTTTCAAAAATCTTTTTACTTAAGAAGTCTTGAACTTCTAAAAACTAGTCTTACATTACACCTGAACTCAAAAATGAGATTTTGCTATTATGAAATTTTTTTCATATGAAATATCAGAAGTTTTCTGGCTTATCAGAAAATTAAACGAAGAATATTTAAAAGCTTTTCCAGCAGAACGCATTGCACAAGAAATCTTTTTCAACAATAACTTTATTGACAATCTAGCAAGATCTTACACCTATAACTTATATGAAACTGAAGCAAGTAATCATGAAACTAACAATATTAAAGATATTATTTCAAATACTATTGAAATGACTCTTCCATAAAATGAACCTAAAGATATTATTTCACTACAAGATGATGAGGAAGATGATGAGAAAATCTCTTCACAAATTGATACACTAAATAACAATGATATACTAACAAATATGAATAATACACAACATGTTAATCTTCCTTTTTTTTCATCAATATCTAATATACAATATCCTTCATCAAATAATCAAATCAAAATAACAAACAAAAACAAAACAAACAGACAATAAAAAATTTTACACATCAGTCATAAAGCAATTAAAACAAAATATTCACATGTCTGCAGATCTTATTAATAACAACATTATCGACATGTTCTCACACAATCCAATAATAACATTACACAAAGCTAAAAGTTACATAAGAATGATCTATAACATACAATGAAAAACACTTTTCACATAACTAAATCTAATAATAGAGGAACCGTTTTCGCATCGCTCCTAGTTTTTGCCATGCCAGAAGATAATAGGATAGAGAAATTAGACTTCATTTCTTCCCTTTTTTCTCAAAAACTGGATTTATTAACATAGATTAGAAATTTCATAATGGTAATGCTAATATTTTCATAGAATTTAATAACAGAAAACTATTATTGGATGCAATAGATGATGCTTTAATTAATCATCCTGAACCCCCTTTTAATTTGATCAATGAAGCTTCACTTAATACTCAACACCACAACAACCTTATTTATAAATTTAAATCTGTTCCTAGTAACATCACATAAAATCACATAAATAGAGCCCTCACATATTTTGGATCAATCATTTCCATTGTAAATCAATATAGAAACAGATATGACTCTAAACATAACATTATTATCTCTTTTGAAAAACTCAGAAAACCCCATCAACTTAATGCAACCTGGATACATAATATAAATAGACACGTCATTAGATGCTGTTAGTGATAATCCATTTGCATCACTAAATGACTATGCTAGTTAATGTCATCAATGATCACTAAGAAAATCGTGATCATTATTTTCACTAATTTCACTGCTATTACAGTTATCGTTGTGATATTTATTTTTTTATTATTATGTTTATCATTATTTATTTATTATTATAATTATATTTACTTTTACTATTATATTTATTATCTCTTTCTTATAATTGTAATTTATATAAATATCCTGTATTGTCACCTTGACA